CAAGATGTTATCGATAGGTTCTATTTTTTTTGTAGTTGGAAAGTCACCCAACGAATGCAGGCCACAACTACCCACAAAACCCACTGGTTATAATGGAAAGGAAATAATTGTAGAAATACGCCGCACCTCAGCATAGAACGCGGATGAGATGTAAAGTTCTCTTTAGATCGTAGGTCTCAGCGGGTATTTTCTCAAAAAATGTCAAGAAAAATCATGTACCTGCAAGTGAAGCGATGCGGACGACCTTTCCGAAACAATCAAGAAGATAAATGAGCAAGGTACGAATATCAGTGCGATTGTGGTGAAAAGAGCAATTAGAATATCGTTGTTCTGGAGGCTGGAACGCATCAGAATGTAAAACGACGTTCATCTGTTGTTCATGAAAACTGTAATGACTGCAGTGATCACTAGTTGACTGTGGTGTAATTCTCAAACTGCTTTTGCTAGAATATCAAATGAAAGAAAAGCTGAAAAAAGCTGGAACGTGAACAAAAACCCTAGCATACTTCAGAATAGTGTCATCAAACTAGCTAGACAGTAGCTTCATCGACAGATACATGAACCTAGTTTATATGATCTCAGCCGCCGCGATGCCAACGCCAGCGGATCAACTCCAGAGTGACGGAAAAGTCACTTGGAGTTGATTCGCTGACTTCAGCTATTAAATGTCTACACTGCGTCCCATAACGATAGTTCCAACCATAAATCTCGCAAAATCCCGCCCTACACTAGGTTTTCGAAAAAACCTCTAGATAGAAAATGTGCTAATTACAAGTGCCAATTTGCATCCAACACCGAAAACTAACTTTCCAGAGCAACTTTTTTTCTCTTTCTTTTTTTGAAAATTTCTCACTCAATGTCCCAAAAGTATAGTTCCACCGCATATTTTCCCACTGCGTCTCTTTTTTTCGGGTAAAACTGTCTCATCATCATTACTTTTCACCTTTTTCCAGGTTATGGCGAGAGGACATTCATTGTCTGGCGAGAGGACATTCATTGTCGGACTTCGAAAAAGGGCAGATTATCGCAAAGAAGGCTCAAGGACTGTCGAACCGTCAAATCGCAAGGGAGTTGGGCCGCAGTCATCATGTTATCAATAATTTTGTCAGGGAACCCGCAGGATATGGAATCAGGAAGAGTTCTGGACGTCCTCCTTCGCTGTCTGATCGAGATAAGCGCCGTATCCTAAGAGAAGCGTCCAACTCCACGATGTCATGCAGGGAAATAAAGTCATCTCTGAAGCTCAATGTCTCGAAAAATACTGTTTGGCGTGTCTTGAAGAAGTCGGAGTTCATTCTCAGAAAGAAAATGAGGAAGGCACCGTTCCTGACAGAACACCATCGCGAAAACCGAACTTGCCTTCGCTAGAAGATGCTGCCGAACCGATTGGAGTAAGGTTAGCTTTCGGCTGCGGTGCCCTACTGCTTGTCTGTCTTGTCTTTTCAGATTTCTTTCTTCTAGGTTGTGTTTTACAGTGAGAAATTCGATTGTGACGGCCCATATGGAAATCGATTTTACTGGCACGACCTGGGAAAGATAAGCTTAATTTTTCGAGGCGGAACTTCAGAGGGGTGGTGTCATGGTCTGGGCTGCGATCGCATCAACGGGACGTCTTGAAGCTGTGCTTCGTATCGAAGAAAATGAATTCTTCCGACTACGTGAATGTCATGCGACGAGGTCTGCTTGGTTTCTGGCAAAAAAAAATCGGGAGGAAAGTCCTGTTTTCATGCAAGACAATGCCCCAATCATGTCAGCCGAAGCACTCGAGCGTGGTTCAGTCGTCATCAAATCGCTCTTTTGCCCTGGCCAGCGAATAGCCCCGACTTAGACCGAATGGACCCAATCGAGAATGTGTGGAGCTTCATGGTACGCAAGATCTACGCTTCCAAAATGTCCGTGAGCTCAAGGAGGCAATCATTGATGCATGGTCCATGTTGACCGAAAGCTTATCGAAAATCTCGAAAAGCATGAACGACCACATTTTCCGACCTATCTGAAGGAAAGGGGCTGCAATTGATTATTGAATTAACAATTTATTCATTTTGTTGTACACTTGTTTTATAAATCGATTTGTTTAGTGGAACTATACTTTTGGGACATTGTCAAAGTGAGAAATTTTCAAAAAATAAAGAAAATTGAAGTTGCTCTGGAAAGTTAGTTCTCGGTGTTGGCATGCAAATTGGCACTGGTAATTACCACATTTTCTATCTAGAGGCTTTTTGGAAACGTCGTGTAGGGCGGGATTTTGTTAGATTCATTGGTGGAACTATAATTATAAGACGCAGTGTATTTCAGGCTCACCTAGCCCTTGTGCTAGGTGAAAACTTGCGAAAATCGGAAAGTGGTGTGAATTCTCGAGTCATAGTCACGTGCCGCACGTTGCTAGTCATTTGAGAGCCTTCGGCAGTGATTGGAAGCCTTCAGTGCGCTGTGGACTACGGCACTGGTCAATGATGCCGCAAATGTCGTGCCCCAATAGCACTGAGTCCCGCAGGCTGTATGCATCCGCTGATGTTCCACAGCGCGAGGGATGTTTGACGTTTTGTTGGGGAGGCTTGTTTTGAGGGTTCTCCGATCCGAGATTTGACGAGGCAGCAGAGCTAGGATGCTCTTTGAAGAACGCGGCGCCCTCGGATCCACAGATGCTTTTCAGCGAAGGCAGATGACACCTTATTGACAGCTGTAAACTGACGATAGTCCTCTTCGTTTTCCCGGTTTAGCCACGCTGTGGTGGATCGAAGTGTTTCTTTTTGCTGTCGGATTTAAAAGCAGAGTTCGTTGATTGCTATCTGGTAGTTGAATTGACTGACAAATGTCAATGTACTGACAGTGAGTAACTGGATGATGAGCAAAAAGCAGGAGACACCCTTTGTTT